TAAGGACACATGGCAGTCAAAGCCCCCAACCTTGACTATAGCCAACACCTGAAGAGAAAATTTTCTGTAAACTTATGTTTCCATTTCTGGCTCCCCAGAGCTCTTTAGGGCTAGGGACAGACATTACACATAAACTGGTTTAAGTGATCAGAAAGTGGTTTAAACCTGTAACAGAACAAATGTTCAGTGCACATAAACCAGTTTGACAATGGCTGAAACCGGTTTGAGGTAAACCTGGCTGAATGTAGTTATCAGACTTAACTGATTTGGGTCAAACCAGTTTATGCAATGTCTGTCCCAGATCCCTTCCTGGTTTAAGTTAAACCAGACTCCCATAGCATACCAGCATGCTCTCTGGACTGGGCGGGGCTCCCTGCTCCACAGCAGAGCTGCCCCCTCCCCTCTGCTCCCTGGCTGCAGCTCTGGCAGAGACTGCAGGTACAGTGGGGTCTGCCTGGCTTCCCCCTGCTCCTCCTTCTCCCGTCACCACTCCCTGCTAAGTAGGGATTCCCCTCTCCCCTCTGCCTTACACAGACACTTCTCAGCATTAGGTAGCAGACCACATGCTGGCTACGGTCTGTGCTGTGGCAGACAGGACAAAGGCAGACAGGACTGTTTCTGCCTAGGGCTTTTTGGAGCTAATCAACAGGTCAGCTGGTAATGTCCCTCTGTTCCTTCTTTGGAAAAGCTGTTTAAAAATGCCTGGACTAACAGAGAGAGGCTTTGTTTTCTGATGGGATGATAAATGCTGATAACAGAGCTGAAAAGTGCTCTGTTATCAAGGGGGAGAACCCCTCCCTAATCAGTGTCCTGGTGGGGAGGCCTGGCCACACCCCCACCTTAGCTCAGCACTATAGAAGGGGAGGGAAGGCTGCTTTAGCATTCCCCAGCTTCTAACCTGAGCTACTGCAGGCATGTGCCTGCATTTCTGGGATGTCTGCGTGGTTACAAGTCAGTTTAGCCTAGCCAGGTTAGACAAACCTGCAAAGATTGAATCAATTCAGGCTCAGGCTTTTTGAATGTCTGTCCCTAGCCTAGCAGAACTCTGGCTAGATAAGCATCAAAGCCCCAGAACCAGGATTAAGGCCCAGATATACTGAAGCCCCATCTATGGTTGGTGCCAGGAGCATTCTGGACTCCAGAACCATGATCTCTTCTGTAACCTTTATACAATGCTTATGTTGCTTATTCATTCAATTTTGAGGCTTTTTCCTTTGTGCACATGTACAAGGAGCTCCTTTGAATTAATATGGCAAATCAATATAAGCAGCAGTTTTATTTTGCATAGACACTATCCAGTATTAAGAGAAGTTCTGTAGCAATGTAGAATACCTTGCAGCTTCCATAAGAGTACGGAACAGTGAGGGGGGATTTCTAGGTTTTTCTTCAATGGAAGGAAAAAGCTAGCTTCAGACAGAAATGCTCACATTAAGGAAAGTTTACTGCAATATAAAAGATGTTCCCTTTCCCTAGAGTGTTTGCTCCCATCAGATCACTTTATGGGACAGTTGCAGTTTTCTCCTTAGAGTGAAGTCCAAATACTAAACATTTCACTCTTGTTTGTCCCA